GTGCGTGACAGACGCACACACAGACACACAGACACACAGACGCACAGACACACAGACACACAGACATACGGAAACACAGACAACCTCTCGTCAATATGCGTTTTTCGCATTGCACTGCTGCAAAAAACGCATAATAAATAGCAGCGCGCTTCAGGGCAAGCCGTACCATAATACTCTTTGCGCAGTTCCGTCCAGCGAACCTCTGCCTGCTGGCGATTTTCACTGTTTTTCACTTGTGCAAAAATAGCTGAAATGTTGTATGGTCTCCATGTTGCGAAATTCCTCGCAGGAAATTTCACGTATGTGAATTTTGACTGGTAATCAGCACTACCTCAAATTGGAGGTGATGGCCAAGAAATTTCACTGCCAAATGAAACAGTGGCACTTGAAGACATAGAATTTTTGTGGAACTTGATGAAATACTAAACTACTCTTGAAAAGATTCGGCCTTTTTCCATTTATTTACTTAGGATTCCTAAAGTAGCTGATAATTTACGATGTGCTTCTTCACTTATGCAAGCAGCAGCTTCTGCATCGACTACGGTTTCGTACTTTTGCATAAAAACCAGTTCAAACGTACCAATTAGCTAATCGGCCGGAGTATTGATGACATTCCTAGTACTGTTTTAATTTTAACATATCTATTTTTAAAAAAAGAAGGGATTTGGCAAGAATCTGTCGCCATTTCCGCTTGACTCTGCGACCACAAAGGCATCAGATAGAAAGTACGTAACAGTTGAACAATGATATTAAAAATGTATAGAGTGGTCTTTTCCATTATCCGAACGAGACGTTCGGCAGTTTTAAGAGGCTTTCGACGCATTTCTACTTCCGGCCATTTCATTTATTCACCACTCGACACCACGTTTTCAAACTCAGTGATGACCAGTGCATGCGATCTGGAAAAATACCATCTTACGTTCTTATTTGCTTTTGACTACTGCGTCGAAATAAAGGCGCCGCTGTTTTTTTGCAGACGTTTTAAAAAATCCGATACGGGAACAAGTCTTCTAGGTTTTCTTGCAGTGCACATTAATTGATGTTCTTAGTTATAGGAATTGTTACTAGTGTTAAGACAAAGTTGAGACCTTCATTCTAGCAAAAAAAAAAAAAACAAAACATTAATATATCACAGTAGGCATCTTATGTTCTTGAGTGGTCTTGTTGGGATGCTCACATTTACGCCAAGTGTATTCTGGGCTCCATTGCATTCAATTAGCACCCAATGACTGTTCGCAATGTTGTTTCCAGTGGTCTTCTTTTTCGTGGATACTACTCGCTAATACGCAAAATTCAGCGGGTGTCGGTAAGACGAGCACAAATGTTTGAACATCATTGAATTGTGCTAATTTACAAGTATAACAGCTGCTTCGTAGAAAATAGTGAGAGCTTGGTCCTTGTGGCTGTCTAGACTCTGTATGAAGTAAACTTATTCAATTCTTTGCCCTAGTTCCTTCCCTGGAGCTCGGAATCATATATCTGATGAGCTCAGATTACTTTAAAACCTTAGAGAAAATTTGTCTTAGCTTGGCCTCAATGGGCCACAGGTTCTTTTGTTCTGTTCCTGACAGCAGTTTGCTTTTAAAATTATCCGGGAAATTTTAGATGTGTGTTGAGGCATGTTTAGACATATGTGAAGCATTTGCGAAAAAATTTGAAAATTGGCACCGTTTCTCGCTCAGTTTCCCCACCCTGCTTACCAACAACGACCCAAGCAACACCGAAGCAATCGGTGAATGAACTTTGTAAGTTGAAAATTTATTACTACAAAAAAATTGCACGTTAAATACGAGTTTATATGTTTCGGCAATTTCCTGCTGACTAACTTCAAGGCCAAGCAGTATTAGTTAACGATACATGTGCCAAAAACATTTTCAGCTACACATATAAATATATAGCTGGAAATGTTTACTGTATAAATATATTATATATAAATGTCAAAAATCCGTTAAAAAATTTAGCGGACGCGTACG